TAGCTCCTAGCACCTGCAGCTTGATTCATGTGAAGAGATAATGATCATGATTCTTGTTTTCATCAGTCTCGCTGTGAAACAGGACCGGCTAGAGTGTTTGCGGCTCTCTTGGCCCCACCAGGTAATGACGAATGTGATACCCTGTCGAGAAAGAGAGATGAGGTGGCTGTGCAGCCGCTAGTTGGAGCAGGTCCCATTTTGCCGTCAGTGTGGATGCATAGAGCAGCAGCTTTGGTGACCTTGGATGCATTGATCTGCAGCAACATGAATGCTGCAGTGGAGGGGGCGCTGCGGTGATGCAGCACTTTAGGGTGACAGAGGTTATGATATGGATTGGGTCATTATAGATTATTGAGTGTCAAGTCATATATATTAGGTGTGACTTCCTGGATCTTCCTGTTTGACCAGAACGTTTTAGTTCTGTTCACTTGGATACATTGAAAAAATGTGCAGTTTAAGATTTGGGTATAATTAAAATTGGTTTGATATCAATACCAATATTAACACCTTGTTTTCTAAATGGTATCTTTTTTAAATTACAAACCAAAAGTGAGCCTGGCTTAAACCACAAACGCGTGTGAAGTGCTGGAAATGGATGTATTTACTGACTGTAACAAATTGCAGGCTAATTAAGAAGCAGTTGCGTTAATAGCGTGCTCACAGAATGTAGTTAAGACAGCCAATCTGCAACCTAGATTTTGGAGCAAGCCTATTGGCTCACGGATACTGACTTTGTAGTTTCTGATATTTGGTACTGAATGAAACAGAACAATTCACAATTACTTAAATGATGCAGTAAAATCACTTAATTATGAATATGTTCATATTATTGACATTCTCATACATTTACGATTTACCTTACGTTTTAATGTAGTATAATTTATTATACTTATTATACTATTTAGTTTTATAGTGTGTTTAACTGGTTTGACAATTTTGGCTTCCACCATTTTATGAGTATGCCTGCCATGTGTGGTGGAAGAATTTGTAGGACATTAGAAGGAGGAGAAGGAGGAGGAGGACGTGTTTCAGACATTTGGTCCCCAGATTTCAGTTATGCCATAACTCCATGTAAAATGCTGCAGTAAAATTCCTTTATTGTTGGTCTGTGCATAGTATGATGCACCCTGAATTGATTTCTTTTGCTTTTCTGTGCGACTTGCTTGGGCTTATGTGAAAGAACCATTTATAGTGTTTTATATTGTCTGTGCCTTTTTTGTTCATATAGAAAATGAACAGACCATTTTATTGAAACCAATAGGGAATGGCAACAACAGTCTTTTGGCACTGAGGTCATGTCAGATTTTCAAATTTTCTTGATAGTCGACCACCTTCTGATACATTTCGTCATAGTTCTCATTGTTATGAACGTATAGTGGAGCTGTTGACGCCAGATAAACAGAGAGTTATCTTAGAGTTCTAAATATTCTTAGTAGGATCTAACTAATATATTGGTTAACTGATAATATTGACCAATATTGATAACCCATATATATTGGTGACGTTGCGCAGATAATTAGCAACTTTTTTTGATTGCAGCTGGGATTCGAACTTGCGATCGCCCGATGATAGAGCAAAACCTTAGATTGTTCTGCCAAAAACGTATTTAAAAGGTATCCAGCCTTTAACATTTTGCATGAAAACAACTAGAGGTGGGCAATATGACAGTATTGTATTGTTGTCGTGGTAGATTTTGTTACTGTGATAAACAATACACTTTTGTGCATTTTGTGGATATTGTCAATACTCTGTGAACACTAACCAACTGCATGTTTCATTACAAAGAGAGCATAATTAGTCCTGTTTAATTGGGTTTATTGCATTGCAGTATATCAGTCAATTACACTGTTTAGCAAAATTAAGACCTAAAATATAAATATAAAATTATATCGGCCAATTATTATTAGTTTAAAAACTTCAGAACTGTATCAGTATTGGCCACAGAATGTTCATATCCATCAGGCCTTCATTCTTAGATGTAGTTTCCTCAGAGGTTATTTTAATTACTATGTCTTCATCAGTTGTCTAACGTTTTTGCAGCATTTGTAGAATTGAAATCCTCTGTAAAAGTTGAAGAAGCGTTGGCAGAGCCAGCTCTTTCTGGGGATGTGCTTGCTTAAAGTGCTGCGTGTTTGTGGAGAGGCGTGCTGTCTTTGAGGATGTGCTCAAACTTCGAGTGCTGTGTGTTTGTGGAGGGGTGTGGATGCTCCAGGCGTGCTCAGGCTGCTGTGCTGGTGCAGTGGAATTTTACTGAGGCTGGCCTGGCTGCCTCTGGGCTGTGTGTCTGTTTTCACTGCCTACGCTTTCCTAATGTTGGCAGTGTGATCAATCACTACGCACTCTCGCTCTCCTCTTATCCACCCCCCCACCCCCTAATCTGCCTATCTTCAGCCCGCCTCCCAATAAATTCATTCTCTCTGGCTGATCATGCAAAAGTCTCCACTGGCAAAAATATACACCAATCAGGCATAACATTATGACCATTATTTTTGTTTCTACGTTCATTGTCCATTTTATCAGCTCCACTTACTATATAGGTGCACTTTGTAGTTCTACAATTACAGACTGTAGCCCACTTTTACCCTGTTCTTTAGTGGTTGAGCCCCCCATGGACCCTCACAGAGCAGGTACTATTTGGGTGGTGGATCATTCTCAGCACTGCAGTAACACTGATGTGGTGGTCGTATGTTAGTGTGTGTTGCGCTGGTACGAGTGGATCAGACACAGCAGTGCTGCTGGAGTTTTTATATCCATAACATTTTTTAACTTTTTCACATTTTAGAACAGTAATTTACACATAAACCAGATATAAATCAGATTTCTAGAATAGAAACTTGCTATCTTTCAGTTCTTACATATTTTAAATAGTTTTTTTCACTTCATATATTTTAATTGACTCTCTGTTACTGGGTACCATGTTTAAAGTGCACAAAATGTCTATCAAAACTGACTCTAATCACTATGTGACACCAAAACTGCTATACCCATATTAATTATATATCGCTTGGCACAACTATTATACTAATAACTGAAAGATACTTCTTATGATTATTTCCCCACATTCATTAAGGAATTGAAAGGAAAATACTATGGAAGAGAGAGAGATGTCTATACATGCATGTGACTTGCTTGATAGAAGCGATGCAGCGATAAGATATGACTTATGTGTCGATCCGTGTTGTGAAGATTATTTGAGCTCTCATTTAAATGTTATTGAATCAGCACTGCACAACCTCACTGACACTGTCTTTGCTGAAGACTTCACTGACCTTATATGGTATTGCTTTAATGCTGCGCGGTGCGGATAAAGAGCGGCATTACATTCTTGCTTTCAGACTTTGAACGTCATCTGAGAAATTTCAGATAAGCTATCTGAAAGCGGTGTGGCGCATAGCTGAGCTAAATGACTTTTAATCATTGTGCTTCTTTATTTCACGTGTTGAGAAATTTAACACATTTCCAGTATTTTATCCAAATAATGCAGTTTTCCCAATAATTGCTTCATATTCATCCCTACATACATACTTAACCTGTAGGACTGTTAAATGAAGGAGAGCTCCCTTAGACCCATATATGCATACATTAATGTACTGATAGGAGACACAGTGTTTTAAAGTTCAGTGTGATTCTCAGCAGCTGTACTCAAATATGAGTACTTCAGTGGTACTTTTTGCATATTTTTCCTAATATAGGATAATATAGGAATCACATTTATTCAGTTTTTCTTCGATTGATATAGGTATATAGATATGGGGCTGTCACAAATATGATTAAACATATAAAAATAAATTAAATCTTCCTTCTAAATTAATCTGCAATGATTTGTTGGCAGTTTTTATGATGATAACTATCTTGAGTCAGTGTTTCCCAACCTGGTCCTCAGGGTCCCCTAGACGATCCATATTTTTCCTTTATCCCTGTGTGTTGAGAGTTAGGTTGGAGGGCTGGGTTGAGAAACGCTGTTTTAGGTTTTTACATTTTAGGCTATGATTAATTATTATTAAAGGGAATTCCACCAATCTTTTACATTTTCTGCATAATTAATTCACTTAGATGTAAACACAGTAATCCAGTGTGGTTTGATTTAAAAAAGCTCTGTTGTAGAGAATCTTAACAAGGCAAAATGTTTCATGGTGGTGGTGGTAGGAACCAGACATCTGAGAAGTTTAAAGACTCTAAAAGCTACATCACTGAAAGTTATTACACGAAATGGTTATGAATACACTGCCTGATGCCTGAGACATGTTGAGAGAAGGTTTTGGCCTAAAACGTATTTCAGTAAGTACATTCATGGCAAAGGGGTAGAGTGTTGTAAGGGTCAATTGTCCCTAAAAATCTTATATTTACAATTTAACATTATTGTACCATCAAAACCTTTACATAGAAAAACTCAGAAGATATGTCTGAGTTCACTGGTTGTTTTCTAAATAGCAAAAACTGGTTGTTTTGGATAGCAAATGAATAGGCAACATTGATGATGGACACATGGGGACCTCTGGTTGTTCCTGTCACTACCACTGTAAACAACTTAGCTTAAATGTCTTTATAATGTACCATTTCACATCAGACCACTGTGAATGCCTTTGTTTACAGCTCAATTAGTGAAATATGCAGAAAATTAGAAAAATCGATGGTATCCCCCTCTAATTTCGTCTCTATTTTGTATTGTTTGGCCTTTTTTGAAAGAAATCAGGTTATTCTATTAATCATCAAAATATTAAGTAGATTCTGCAGTATCCTTAATTTATTTATATCCTTAATATATTTTATTATTACTATCATCAATACATAACATAGTTGTCCTTAAACACTCTCACTGCCTCCTCATCCCTCCCCTCACTTGCCCACCGCCCTAAGCTGTCAGAACTGCTTGAGCAGATGGTGATTGGATTCCCCCTCTGCCATTCACACACACAGCTGTGTGCACGCACACACAACCTTGCAGCAACACCCACAAAACCCCGCTTTAGTAATTCCCCGTTTTCCGATCATACCCCATACAGAGTGGATTTGGTCACTCCAGTGGTTTACAGTGGACGGGTTGAGGTGGATGAATGCATGATAACTCGGAAAGGAGGAGTAGAACAATAACAAGCGTGTTGAGAGGAGAGTCGCTCTGATTGGTTTTGGGAGGGAAGCCCCATGTGCCTGGATCTTAAGGCAGTTCCTGCCCTGATCTAATGGAGGAGAGCGGGTAAGCTTCTATTGTCACCATGGCACTGCTTTCTTGAGGGGCTACGTTTTAGCTTTGTCTTTTTTCTTTGTCTCCTCTGCTGTTGTCTGAGAGCAGAGCGTGAACGTGTTTTTAGAGTGAATGAGAGGTTGGTGGGGGGCACTTTGTTTGGGTGTGCTGGGTTGTGTTTTGTCTGTGATGAAGTGAAAGCTAAAGCTGCAGTTGTGGGGCGCGTGACTCACTCTGGCACATGCTCCTCTGCACCATGCAGGCATTTCATCCTGTGCGTGTGCTTATGATTTGTGTTTATGGAAATCATTTTTTTTAATGAAGACCACTTTATTATGCATCTGGGCATGAAATTACCTTCATGCAAGCAATGGATTTTGTCACTTTGTCATTTAACAAATGCCAACAGCAATATGGAAAGTATGATTAGATAAAAAAATGTCATTTGAAATCTCTGTTTTCAATAATAGAAAACCAGTTTTGTTGCAAATACGTTTATGAAATGATTCTTATATGTTTTCCGTCTCTGTTTAGTGTTTTGATCTGGACAGTCAGTTTGGATCACCGTCTTTGAGGTCCATTTGGTCCATTTGGAATTCTTTAAACTTAATCCAGTGTTTATTTTCCGGATATAATGTTAATTTCTCTTTGCCTCAGGCTGGTAGTAGCTGCGTGATGAACACTTGCTGTGAGCTAAGCTAGATAATAGATGGGATGTTTTAGCCACGCTTACAACGCTTTTGTCTTCCATATCAGTGAGGCTCGTGTAGTTACTGAACAAAAGCTCCCCCCGGGCCACTGGAATGGATTAACCAAGCAAAAGAAAGGCACTACACTTCAACACCTGCCAGAGGCTCTTCTGTGTTTTTGTATCAGCTACTTATGAATCCCATAGCTTTATTTTCGTTTTTTCCAGATGGCTTTATGGCTCATTTTGTTCTTTTGTTTTTCTCTCGTGTTCTTTTGTCTTTTTGAAAGAGTGTTACCCTATCGGCTTCAGCTGACCCAAATACTCGTGTTGCCCCTCCTTCCTCCCCCGCTGGCCACTATTAAACAAGAGCATTGCACCCCCACATGTCACTGGAAAGAGCCACGCCTCCTCTGTGCTCTTAAATCACAAACCATTGTCTTGTCAGTTCTGGATAATTCAATTACATCATTGATCTAATTATGCACTTTCATTTTCATTCTCTGAAGCAGCCACCTGGGCCTAAGTGATGATCAAGATTTCTTTTAAAAGGCCAGTCTTGTTGGTGAAAAGTCAGGAAGTCTGGATGTGCCTTGTTTGGAATTATTCCTGACATATTAATGCATATACTCTCAAAAATAAAGGGTTCTTTGGAGAGATGGAGGAGAAGAACTACCTTTGGTTCCCTAAAGCAGTGGTTCTCAAATGTTTTTGCTCTATCTATTTGTGTTGGGAGTTAGGATCAAGCAAAATTTGGATTTTTTGGGGGTCCTTAAGGACCAGTTTTGTGAATCTCTGCTTTAACAAAGGTGGTTCTTTTATGGCACCTGTGTGGAACCTTTACTTTTAAGAGTGTAAGACCTGATTCATCAGTAGTTCTCAGTTTGTGTCGTAATGTCGCTCCATCAGAGTGTATCTACTGCATTGTCTTACTTGCGTCAGTGGTCTTACTCTCATGTCAGATAATCCTAGCCACTCTTACTCAACAGTGAATGAAACACCTCTGTATGCAGGAGCCTGTGCTTACAGGTGCATTGATCCATTCTGTTGTCTAAAGTGGTCTGGAAGACAAATCAATGAGCCATTATCAGAGTTATGGGGACTAAACAGCAGAGCCCAGGCATGTTATGCCAGCAGCCAAAAGAGGGCTATTAATGTGATGGCTGCTATAATCATTTTGGAGGGAATGTGTGTGATGGGAGGCTGTAGATTAATAACTTGGCTCGCCATCAGTTTTGTTAAATTGCATACTAAAGGGATGAACGCTGATATCGGAATTATATCAGTATCGGCAGATAATTGCTTAATAAAATACACATCGGACAGATGTTTAGAGTTGACCGATGTTTCAAGCCGATATATAACGTTTAGGCAACACTGGGTTACTGGGTTCATTGTACTGCATTTGTAACCCTATAGAAATAAGTGTTACTTTTTTTCTGTAATGTTATTCCAGGCCAAGTTTTTGTGTATCGGCATCAGCAGATTTGTACAGTCATATGCAAAAGTTTGGCCGCCCCTGATTGGAAATTAGTCAACGCATCCTCTACAGAGAACACGTTTCTGCACGTTTTAATGCACAATTACTCTTTATTTTTTTCAACGTTAAACTCAGCAAATAAATTGGAAAATGCAGAAAAATGTTATATATTAGTTTGTTCCTTGTAGAGGATGAACTTATTTTCAATTAGAAAAAAAACATGTAATTTGACTGAGGATGTTCAAAGTGTTGCATACAACTGTACAAAAAGTACTGTGTATAGGCACTGGCCCACAATGCAATACATTACAGTAAAATCATCTTTATAGTATTGTTGTGACTGACAAAATCACGCATCTCTAAAATGTCTTTATAAAAGAAGAAACAAATAATGCTTTAGCTTCTAATGGTACAATTTTTTTCCAGATTTTGGAGCATTTCTATTGTGCCATTCATTATGAAAATTTCGCACAGTGTAGTAAAGGGCTGCTTTCATTTTAAAGCAAATAATATGATAAAAATTGAGGTTTTGTTCTGACAGCAATGTTTTCAAAAGTTTCTTTTCAAGGTGTTTATTTAAAGTAGCACTATGTAATTTTTTTTGGTTAAAATTGACAGAAGTAGAAGGAAAAATACTTGCTAACAAACGATGTCCGTGTGCTGCTGAATCACTCTGTAAAACCTGAAATAATTTAAAAGTGTCTGACTGTTTTTCGAGCTACGTTGTACATCTTTACATTTTAATGTCACATGCACTCAAAAAGAAGGTCCGGCTTGATGTTTAGTTCTCAAAAGCACAAACAACATTATACTGATGAAGATACTGTATGATGACAATAGTAGATAATTCACTCACATCCTCGGAAGACTCATCCTTCACCAAGTTTTAACTGAGTTCTCTTTGAATTCTCTTTCAACACACCCACAATCATCAAATTCATCCCCTCGGGGAAGGGGTCCGAAGGACAGCCTGTGCTACAAAATGTTTTTCCACACGTTGTGGGTGATTACACATTTCCACCAAAGAGGTCTCCAAATCCTCAATTCTAACATTCTGTAGCTTTAAGTATGAACACGTATGGTGTATATCAGCTACAGTACACTTACGCTGTTTTGTTTTTTTCTGTCTTTGGCAGTACATGGTGACATCCGCTGTGCTGCAGTCATCTCCAGTCTCAAACCTGTTCTGCCAAACCTCACAGCATGTCCGGTGCCTACGATGAGACAGCAGGGCCTGATGAGGCCACAGACAGCTTCTGGGAGGTCAGCTGCTTATTCACCACAGATATTTTAACAGCATTTTAATATTTAATAACTAAGGCTTAAAATAAGGCTTCATTTACACAGTTTACTCTTTTCACCAAATCAGTCAAAACATGTTTGGTCTCTAAAGTTTGTTTCTTTATATTTACACCAGTGCTACTGAGCTAATATGGCTAACAAGTAATGGAAGGTTCAATATATTATATATGAACCCCTCTGATTTGAATTATGCATGATTGAATCATCATACTTGCCTTAAATCGCATCAAGCTGTTAATCTCAAATAGGAAATGAAAAGAGATCTCAAATGGACTTGTTAATGTGGTTTCTGACACTGTATGACATACTGTTTTCTATAAACTTGGACAAAAGTACATTAGCATAGCTAAAAAATTGTAGCAGCAATCTTAAAGCTGTATTTGTGGATCATACAGGTATCTATCTAAAATATATTACGGACAAAATTCAGGATGAAGGACACGCAGTATTGATCCTAATGGGCATAAATAGTGACTATAATTCAGTGACCATTTTGTATGAGTATTTCTTGGTTTGTTGTTGTACCGTAAGCAGGAATTCCTGTCTTAATGATCACGTTTTACTCCTTATTTTGTTCTGTCTTTCAGGTAGGGAACTACAAGCGTACGGTGAAGCGGATCGATGATGGTCACCGACTCTGCAATGACCTAATGAGCTGCATCCAGGAGCGTGCCAAAATAGAGAAGGCCTATGCACAGCAATTAACAGACTGGTCCAAGAGATGGAGACAGCTAGTAGAAAAAGGTAATTAATAAATACTGAACTGTAATTTTCCCTACATTTCTGACATTTAAATCTTTATATGAATTTGAAGTTGAAACACAATCCAGTTTGAAAGCTTTGGTGTGATGCATTCTAGAAGCAATTCTAGTTTATGCCCCTTTTCATTTTGCGCTGTAGTTTGAATTGTTAAGTTGAATGGTTTCCCCTCTCTACCTGTGGTAGTACTCACTGGGACTGTTGGGATCAGACTCGTACTATAAAATCCAGTATCTTTTCTCACTCAGGGCCTCAGTATGGGACAGTGGAGCGAGCGTGGATCGCGGTGATGGCAGAGACGGAGAAGGTGAGCGAGCTCCACCAGGACATCAAGAGCAGTCTGTTGAATGAGGATTTGGAAAAGGTGAAGAACTGGCAGAAAGACTCCTACCACAAACAGATGATGGGAGGCTTTAAGGAGACCAAAGAGGCAGAGGAAGGCTTCAGAAAGGCTCAGAAACCATGGGCCAAAAAGCTCAAAGAGGTGATGAAAATACAATTATATACTGATATTCTTTATCACAGATTCATAAAAGCAGAAACATGCTGTCTTTACAGTGAAAAGATTTTGGCCTTTAATTTGCGTGGCTACGTAACATTTTCTCTCATCAAACATGTCTAGTTCTTGAAATTGGCCACTTTTTTCCTTTTCTCTACTTTCTCACGGGTGTTTACCGTCCTGTTCTGACACTTTTGTACCCTTGTTAATTATCCTTGGGCCTAAATTTGGCCATGTTTGCACGATTCCTAGATCTGAATCAATACTTTATTGGATCTGACACGGCCACTGCACAATTACTGCTGGCAGCCAGGGCCCTAATTGCCTTATTTCAATAATGTCAATGTCTGCTGTTTTTCCTGAAACAGGCTTACCCTACCCTGAAACCTCAGGAATGCAGTCCTTTAGCACTTTCTGATGGGTTCTTAAAATTGAGACCTACACAAATGCAGTCCACGTTTAATATGTTTGAAGGTGTTACTGGTTAACTTGTATTTTTAAATCACTGATCTCTTGCACACTCTTTTTCCTGGTAGTTGGAAACAACAAAGAAAGCATACCACATGGCCTGCAAGGAGGAGAAGCTGGCCTCCACTCGAGAAGCTAACAGCAAGGGAGAGACATCTGCCACTGCAGAACAACAGAAGAAGCTTCAGGAGAAGGTGGACAAGTGCAAAAATGATGTTCAGAAGGTGAGTCTAACAGAATAAAGATGAAAATAGTATCGTTTACAAAGTATATGAGACCACCCCTAATGTATTTAGTCTCTAGTCAAAATGGCAATTAAATACAAGTTGTTCATTTTTCAGGACGCATTTCAAGGGAAAATAGGTGCAAAACTACTGTTGAAAAATGACACTTTTGAAAAAATTCTAATGACCGCCTGCAACATCTAGTGGACCACAAAAACTGCCCCATCAGATAAATGACACTAAAAGCTGTTTCAGATCTGAAAACATCCACAGGTGTTTCTATAGAAGACAACTCAGCGCTATGGGTCTGAAAGGATGTGTAGCTGCCGAGAAGCTGTTAGAAAGTGAAATACAGGTGTAGCTATTTCTTTGAACAATGTATTGACCATCCCAGAGTCTAGACCTCAACATTATTGAATGTGTTTGTATTTGGACTGTGAAAAGTAGAAAATGCAACCAGCTTCTAAGACTGAACTTTGGAGCCATGGAAAAATATCCCTGCAAATTTCTTTGAAAGGAATGAAGGCAAAAAGTGTGCACACTAAATGTGAAAGTTTTGATATTACATTTAGTTTCTGAGGCTTCAGTGAGCATTTTCTGTTGAATATGAAAAATGAAAAACTTGTGGTTCAAGGCTGTAAGTTAAATAAACAAACTAAGGGTCGACTTACACAGTGCTGTGTCCATTAGGCTGCAGAGTTAGTTGTTTGTTAATTGTTCTTGCAGTATGTTTGCAATACTGATATTGCTGGAATGCAGAAACATGCAAATGAGCCCTCTAAGCAATCACAGTGTGCTTTTTACTGTGTGCTGTGTGCATCATGACCAATCACAGTTCAGATGAGTGTTTGAGTGTTTTGATGATTCAAGGTGTTCTTGTAATCCAACAAAAGTAGATCATTTAAATAATTCAATAATGCACCCAGCCTTGTCATATTAGTGATTCACCAGCGCACGTAACACATTTAACACATGAAATCATATTATATTTCATAAATTACAGTTTCAATATGTAGCAATCTAATCACAATACTACTATTTTGCCCATATCAAGCGGCCACATATCTTCCACTCTAAGCGTTGATTAAGAAAATGACAAGACAGTACTTGGCAGTTCACACTATAAGCAGGACAATTAGGCAGCGACAGATCACTCTGCTGTAAAGCAAATCCTCCAAGCCATTTATTTCACCATTTATCAAGATGGCAGATCTAAGTCTGCTTAGAGCACCATGACATCACTGTCCTGCCCTTGGCCCACCTAACGTGAAAGAGCACAGTTCCGCTCAATAACGAGCCCTCGGATGCACCATGGGGTCAATTCATTAGCCTTTAACATCAGTCTCCTTACATCAATCATAACCACTTAACCCCGCTCTTTAGTGGAGTTAGCCATGCCAGGCCTGAAATTGTTCCTACTCAAATGACTCTCGATTGACCTGTGGGCTCACAGTGTATATGAGTAATGAATTAAATTAGTGACAATAAAGTAACTATTCATAAACATGTCTGCGATCATTATCGTCTCAAAAGCATTTGTAGTGAAAGCAATAAGTCCTAGATATTATCTACAAAGCATGGCAGTGCAAAGAAACATGCCTTTTGGGATTAGAACTATGATCTTTGCTTTGAATGCACATTTGTAACATGTTGAAAGACGAAGGAAACAAGGAAGCAGGATGCAAGTGTGAGCTGGGAGTTTTATTGGTGTCCATGATGAAGGTGGCAGGGAAAAAACAGAAACAAAGGAGAAGCTAAACAAGAAAACTACAGGAACTACAAGACAAAATACAAAATAATAAATAGTAAATAAACACACAAAGCCAGAATCTGAGAACGCACGACAATCAATGCCAAACAAGGAACAGGGCAAACACAAGGGGTCTAAATACTAGGGGGAAATGAGCACTTACAGGGCGGGGCAACAGATCAGACACAGGTGAGGGGCATGGCAAAAGGGCGGAGCAGGAAAATAAAAGAAAAACAGAAGCACATGGCCAGAGACATGAGGGAAGGTAAACAAGAAGAAAAACAGACAAATACAAGGGCAAAACCAGACAGTGGTACAATTATTTTGAGTACAGATTGTCTTAGCTTGCTGATTAGAACATGAGCCCATAAACTGATCAGAACACACTGTAGTAATTTGTTATATGGTAGGTATAGATGTCTGGTTGATATTACATGTCTAAGAAGTGTGGGTGGGTATTAACCCTGTCATGCATGGTGTCCACATAGGTGGACAGCTGATAGCTGAGGAAAAGTTCCTGCCCACATATGTGGATGGAATGCAACAATGGACCAAACTGCATAGAATACCACTTGTACATCTCAGGGATAAAATCACCAAATCTGTGTAGAATAAACAAATAAAAATATCGCTGCTGTCGGAACAAAACCTCGTATCTCAATTTTTGTCGTTTTTCAGTTTTTGACATAATTTGAATTTACCTGTTGCCCTTTACATTGTCTGTGAATTTCATGAGGAAAGGACCAACAGAAATGGCCAAAATGTACTTGGAAAACAGTCTGGTTCCATTGACTTACATTAAAAGTAAAGTAGGTTTTTTCCCTCTCCTGTAAAGTTATAATTTTGGAGATACAAGGTTTTGTTCTGACAGCAGCAATATGTTGAACTATTATTGCCTAATTTTTTTTAGTATGTTAAATTCAGCAAATAAATTAATTGTGCATTAAAATGTGCCGAAGTGTGTTCTCTGTAGATCACAGAGGACGTGTTATTTTATTTTCAACAAAACATGTTATAATAGCATATAACACAGCAACACAGGCATATGACATAGCAGTACATTCATCAGCGCCCAGACTTTTGCATACAAATGTGCTGGTTTGTATACGTCTATATTGAGTGTGTAACAAAATGGAACAGAGTGGGTCAGGAGAGGGACAGTGTGGGGCAAGGTGAGACAGAGAGGGATAGGGAAAAGGACAGGGATGCTTAGAAATACACTGAAAGTAAATAGTTTTACCCCTGTTTCGTTTTTTTAACCCCTGGTGTACACAAACATGAACAGTTCAATGCATTTTTAATTAAATTGATATTTTGATTTAGAAATTAATGCTTTTTATGCTGTTCTATTATAAACAATGCATGTAAAGGTTAAGCATATATGTTGTAATGTAGCTTGTGTGGAGTGTTCATAAGTGTGTTGTGTGCTGGGTTGCAGGCCAAAGAGAAGTATGAGAAGGCCTTGGACGAGCTGAGCAAGTGCACACCGCAGTATATGGAAAACATGGAGATGGTATTTGACCAGTGCCAGCAGTTTGAGGAGAAGAGACTGGCCTTCCTACGGGAGGTGCTGCTGGACATCAAGCGCCATCTAAACCTCACAGAGAACCAAAGGTCAGCCAGGAGATCACCTTCTGTTTGTCCTCTGCTCTCAGACTAATGCCCTGGTGGCGAACAGTGAATGAAAGATAGTGGGACCCAATTAGCATAGCTTGTATCTCCATAATGCTAACTGGCTCCTATAGCTTTTCAGTCTTTTTCAGCAATATTAGCAGTCTTGCATGTGGTATTCCTTTAAACTTCATACTTCATACTACATACATACTGCCAGGCATAATTACCAAGTGTAGGGCACTTGATTAGCTGATTTGATTACGATTCATTAAGAAAAATATTTCAATGGATCATGAAATCTCATATTTGACCTTGATTTTGTTTGATTATTTTGAAGAAAAAAAAATAGAAAATACTGTATAAATATGTGACCAGAGGAACTTGCTACCAAATAATGGGATGGACAGTTAAAATAACACACTAAGCTTTTTTGTTTGTTTGTTTTTTGGATTTCTAGATTTCAAAATTGTCCTCAAATTTTATTGTAGGCAAAAAATGCATACTTGTGCATACTTTATTGAATATTATTATAATCAATTCTAAAATTCAAAAATTGATGCAGCCGAATCGACACCTTCAGATTGATGCACACATTTTCATACCTGGTAACAGGAATATTAGATCAAGATGACTTGAAGTCAAAACCTGCCTCTTTGTTTCTGCAGCTATTCCACAGTCTACCGGGAGCTTGAACGAACCATCACGTCCGCCAGTGCCCAAGAAGACCTCAAGTGGTTTAGTAACAACCACGGCCCAGGCATGCATATGAACTGGCCACAGTTTGAGGTAATAATTATTGTAGCTTAAAGGCTGCATTATAGCAGTATATGCTGTATGCTGTTGTGGGAGTCTGGATATTGTTATGAAAACATACTATAAATACATGCTATGGTTCTCAGAACAATGTCATAGACATGTAACAGTCGATTCGATATGCTTTTTTCTGATATTCAGAAGACGTTAATAAATCAATAAATAACTGAATAACTCTTTTTATTAGGAATATAATCCAGACCTGAGCCACTCCATTAGCAAGAAAGAGAAGGTGAAGAAGAACCATGATGGAGTCACGCTCACCCACGTCACACCTGCTGGGGATCATGCAACACCACACACTGGAGACCGGGGCAGGTAGAGTTCTACATCTTTCTTGCGCACTGTATCTTTACATTTAGTCATTTAGCAGACACTGTTACCCAGCATAACGTATACAATGTGCAAGCAATGGAAGCCAAACAATACAGAGTATTTAGTGTAAGAATCTGTAAGCTAAGGGACAATAGCCATACCATAGCTTGATCTAGTGAAATAAATAAATGTAGTCATAAAGGAGAACAAATTTAGTGTAGCTTGCTTTTCTATAAGTTAGTGGACAATAAAACAAAGGTAAAATGCAGAGGATTGAAGAGAAATGACAAAGTGATTCAGCTGGAGGTTAGGGAACCAGCCTTGTGACCAGAAAGTCGCCGATTCAATCCCCTCAGCTGACAGTACGTGTCTGAAGTGCCCTTGAGCAAGGCACCTAACCCCCAACTGCTCCCTGGGCGCCGTGGATAGGGCTGCCCACCACTCCAGGCAAGTGTGCTCACTGCCCCCTGGTGTGTGTGTGTTCACTTGTGTGTATGTGGTGTTTCACTGCATGGATGGGTTAAATGTGGAGGTCTAATTCCAATGTGTTCAGACACAGTTGGCTAAAAGGTTCATTTCATTTCATTCATTCAAATTAAGTGCAATAAGGTGTTAACCTGGGTGTTGATCTGAGTTACTGCAAAGGGCTGAGTTCAGAGGGAAGTTCGTTCCACCACCAAGGGACCAGGACATTGGAGCAGCGAGACCTCACCTCATGTTTAGATTTTAAGGAAGGATGTGTGAAGATCCCAATGGAATATCTTTCTCTTTATACTTAAAGTATTCCTTCTACATTGAACATGCTCTCTGTTGAGGACAAAGTACAGCTATGTACCTTAAATATGAACTGCACCCAACTACTAAAGGACAGGGCACATTAGGTCCTGGAGTGAGAGTTTGAGGCTCAGTCCAGATGTATCATGAACATGTTTGTTGATAAATTTAGTGTATTTTTTCCTGCCACAAGCTCATTTAACTGCTGCCCATGTTTAGGGAAGCAACCCAAGAACTTCTGACACTGTGCCTTTTAATGAAACACTCCCATTTCACTCATTTTACTGATTTTGCAGTGTGAGCAGTTATGAAAAGAACCAGGCGTACTCAGCAGAATGGTCAGATGAAGAGCAGACTGCGGCCCAGCCGGCCGCTGAGACAAACGGCGGAAACAACCCTTTTGAGGAGGACGTGAGCAAAGGGGTGCGGGTGAGGGCGCTGTACGACTACGAAGGACAAGAGCAGGACGAGCTCAGCTTCAGAGCAGGTGAGAGGCCGAGCTCAGGAAACACTGACTGAATGGGAGAATTCGTCCTTAAAGATTTGGCCAAAAATCGACTTTATACATTGTTTCCCTTTCTGGCTTTAACATGCCTTCAAAGTGGCTGCCCAGAGGAAAGTTATATTGCTCAAATGTTGCTAGTCGTGACTCAGGGGACTTAATAGTGACACTGCAAAAAGTCATTAGGAGAAATAGCATTAGACCAAAAGCACACATGAGCACTTTTCATTGCAGATAAAGATGAGTGTTATTATCTTGGCTCTCTTTAGATCTCCACTAAAACTCAAAAGAAACATGAGATTATTAGGCTCTTTTGCTCAGTTTTTTTCATCTGATCCTGTTGTTTTTTTATTTTGCTTTCCTGTTGGTGCTACTAGTGTTTTAGCTATTTGTCATGTTTTAAGGTAACAGTATATCTTACAGTGTCAGAAACCACATCAGCAAGTCTATTAGAGATTGCTGAACAACTTGACATGGTTTGAGATGAGTGTGTAATGATTGTTGGCACAATGCTAATTGGTGGTTATAAGCATGTTAGCTTCAGTAGTCCAGGCACATTTGAGCTGATGGAGTACATATTGATGAAAAGGAAAATTAATGAATTGGGTTTTTGGCCAAACTGTTCGTTTAAAGCATCCACATAATGTAAAATCAAAATTTTCTCCCTGTGTTGGAATAAAAGATACTGATATTTAAAGTTTCAAAATGTACTATTCACTCAACAGTCTATGCAGTCCATATCGCTGCTGTTGGAACAAAACCTAATATCTCCAAAATGGTAACTTTACAGGAGAAGGAAAAAACATACTTTACTTTTAATGCAAGTCAGTGGAACCAGACTTTTTCCCAAGTATTTTGGGGCTGTTTCTTTTGGTCCATTCATTATGAAATTTACACACAATGTTATGTCAAAAATTAAAAAATGACAAAAATGGAGATATGAGGTTTTGTTCCAACAGCAGTGATATATGGAAACTAAGCTGTAAAAATAAGCAGGTTTTGAATTCATTGTTTTAATGATGTAGTTAAAAACAAAATCACATATCAGTTTACATTTGACACAATTTCATATATCCGCTTATTTAAGCATACACCACTGTAGCCCTGCACACTCACACTAAAGTTATGAGTCTTTCAGCACAGGCTGCTTTTTAAATAAGACACAATACAGGGCAGCCAATAAGAACAGGGTTCATTTACACTTTTTGCTCTTAACAAAAATATCTTGTAAAGAAAGTTTGCAAAATGGTCATGTAAAAATAAAGATGGTACATACGTAAAGTTTTGCAAAAAGCTGCTGTCACAGTAGACGTTTGCGGTTTGTCTCGCCTTGTGAAATGGTCCATGGTGCAGATAGTAAGATAGTTAATTTACAAACCATCAACAGTAAAAGCACAAAAGAGCAAAACAACAAAAAACATTGACATCGATATAATGTAGTCCATGAAGCCTAGCATAGCAAGAATGACTATGCACTGTGTATATTTGATGACTTTTGCGAGTGGCGGCGACAGTCTCAGTACCTGATATGGCCCTGCTTCATGCGTTGCATCTGGGTTAAGACAATTACATTCCTTTCTTACATTTTATTTATTGATTTGATGACATCCCTGTCAAAGGTGTGTATGGTTTTTACCTCCCTGTATATGAAGCGACATACGTTTCGGCATGTGCTACAGTGTTTACTCAGTTAATTCCACTCGGAATGCTGCTTGCGCTGGTTTTAGCCGCCTTATTGCAACTGGACTGTGATTCTAAATGCACTGGCATTTAGAAATTCAGTTCAGGTAAATTGGCTTGTTTTTCTCAGGTGCTGTCATGATGTCCTGATATTTAGTTTTTAATACAACGCCACACAAATTTTGGATATGGGCCCCTCAAATGCTGACATTAGTGTTGTTTCGTCCTGCAAAAAGCCGCAGTCACAGTAGACATTTGCGGTTTGTGTCGCCTTGTGAAATGGTCCATGGTGCAGATAGTAAGATAGTTAATTTACTAACCATCAACAGTAAAAGCACAAAAGTGATACAGATTTTATAAGGTAATTATGAACTTGCCATAGCACAGTGCTGCACACCGATGTGTAGTAAAAAAGAGTGGATAAAGTGTAGTAGTAGGGTGACTAGTGTGCAGTTAGCCAATGAGCTAACATCACAGCTAGCTGCAGTTAGCCAATGAGCTAACATCACAGCTAGCTGCAGTTAGCCAATGAGCTAACATCACAATTAGCAAGCTGGCTAACTCATCTAAAACAGAGAGCAAAACCACAAAAGTACATAATAATAATACAGTCTTTTGACTGACTGCGTACCAGGCAGACTCTCTTTCATGTGTTTATTTATAGCCACTGGGGAAGAAATGTTAAAGGTCTGTGCTTAGCCACTGCTAAAATTAGCGCTTCCTCCATTATAGATCTGTAGTGCTGCTGTATGATGGGCCACCCCTTCAGAGGTCAACATAGTCAAAGCAGTTGGGCTATAGGTCTATTACATGAATTAACATGTCAAAGTTCACAACAATTGAAAACAATGTGAAGTTTTGCACATAAATTTATTTGCCCTGCTTGCAGCAAATTCCATTAACATGCATGTAATTTGACCTGTGAAATTTCATAGGCAAATGTGAGTCACTAGGCCTAAATGATTAACTCTAGGACATGAGAAGGTGACATCTAACAAAATCTAATATATCTCTTCTCTAACAGGTGACGAGCTGACCAAACTAGAGGACGAAGACGAACAAGGCTGGTGTAAAGGCCGGCTAGACAGTGGTCAGCTTGGCTTGTACCCGGCTAATTACGTCGAGCCCATTTAGTTGCCTTGTTTGGAGGACGGCCTTCTTTCTAGAATGGCCTGAAAGACTGCACTGTCCACTGCACATAACCAGAGACTCCACAATACTTTCTTGAACAACAGACTGGCTGAGCGTCTACCATGCACATTCCTCCTGTATCTTAGTCGTCAGTGAAAACCGTCACAAAACAAACCACAACACGTACCCAAAGTATACTGTATCTACTGTGTCCATCCAAGAGGTTTGGGTGATCTTAAATGAAGCCTTTGAAGCAGTACATATCTAACATGTCAGTGCAGGGAGAGGTTTTGTATCCCTGTGTATCCGTTATGAATTTATGTGCAGCTGGCATATGTGTACAAGTATGTTCTCCTGTAAAAAACAACAAAAAAACATTGACATCGATATAATGTAGTCCATGAAGCCTAGCATAGCAAGAATGACTATGCACTGTGTATATTTGATGACTTTTGCGAGTGGCAGCGACAGTCTCAGTACCTGATATGGCCCTGCTTCATGCGTTGCATCTGGGTTAAGACAATTACATTCCTTTCTTACATTTTATTTATTGATTTGATGACATCCCTGTCAAAGGTGTGTATGGTTTTTACCTCCCTGTATATGAAGCGACATACGTTTCGGCATGTGCTACAGTGTTTACTCAGTTAATTCCACTCGGAATGCTGCTTGCGCTGGTTTTAGCCGCCTTATTGCAACTGGACTGTGATTCTAAATGCACTGGCATTTAGAAATTCAGTTCAGGTAAATTGGCTTGTTTTTCTCAGGTGCTGTCATGATGTCCTGATATTTAGTTTGCCCCATAACCACGAGCCTGTCTTTGTTCAATCCACCTCAGACAGATTTAGTATTAAGTGTCATGAAAAAGTGTCACATTGACATCCCCTTTTGACTACAGAAAATATTTATTTATATATTTCAACAAGAATGTGATCATATTTTGTTTCACAATTTAAATTAATAACAGTCATCTCCGTGGAAATCCTGAGCTATTTTTGGCCCACTTAAACATAGAAAAACATGTCTTACCTTAGCCTAGTCCTATAAATCTAGTCCATATTCTCCTTTCACTGGTGAATTTCCATTCAGAATACTGTGTAGTCTAGGACTAGGTTTAATCCCCGTCTGGGAACTTGACCCATAAACTTAAAGGACATTGCATATTAAAGGATTCCTTCTACAGAGTAATGACGAAGCAAAACCCTAGTGGGGACCAATTATCATAATGTCACATACATACTAACTGATCCCTCCAAGCTTTTATTCATTGTTAGCGGTGAAATGTTCCTTCAGAATTCTCTTATTTCTGTTCCATGTGTGCTGAGGGCATGAGAATGAATACAGCAGGATCACATCTGTACGTTAAAGCTCATGTGATGTAATCTACTCTTAATGCTGGTGTAGTGACTGTTCAACTATAAAATAAAACACATCAACCTGACACTCACTCTGTTCAGTGTGTCCACCTTGGCTGGCCGAGCAGGTCACAGACTGCAAACCGCAGTGCACAATGTGGCCACTAGATGGCAAAGGCCTTTTCATCGTTGCCACAGTGCTCACATTGATAGTGTATAGTGCTGGTTTATGGGGGAGGTTGCCACTTCATATTCCTCTCATAACACAAACATGATTGCAGGAGTCCAGCAGAGAGTCCTCAATGAGCTGGAGTGAAACTAAATGGCTAAAAATGTTAACTAAATATATTTGTAGATATTGAAGCTGTGACTTCCTTTAAATTTGGTGAAATAGAAGGATGGATCTTCTACAGAAAACAAGTTTGGACACTAGCATTTACAGCTACTGAGTGCGGACTGGTTGGCTGACTTTGGCAGAGTACAGTGTTTTTTGCACTCAGTGATGTCATTAATATGAATAAGGCACTGAGCTGGAAAGCACTAAAGAATATAACATTTTACACATTTTAAGGTGTTTTATGCTGAGAAATGACTTAGGCTTAACCATTAAGTAGAATTAAATTTGCACAAAAGCTCTGTAGGTCCCTTATCATTCTGGACTCTGTCATTAGCGCCCTCTAGTGTCAACTGTGAAAAGGTCACTGAGTAGAAGTTCTCTTTTACCAGAAGTGACCTGATATGCATACCTTTCATGAACAGGAACAGCTGCTCCAGCCTAATAAATGCTGTCATAATGATCTCAACTTCTAAGCAGAGGATAAAATGGCCTAAGAAAATTATAATACACAATTTAATATAAAACAAAATATGTAACAACCAGTATAAAGAATGACAACGTGGGCCAATTCTGCTGAACTGAACTAAAAGTATGAGAATTCAATTCAATGTAGGATGTTTAAAATGTTTCAGTGTCACTGAAAAGATCAACAGATCCTTCCACAACTAGTCACCATCTGGATAACCCAACTAACCAACTCTTAAAGGAGAATTCTGAAAATGTTGCAATTTCGTCAGAATGATTAAATGGTTATGTATGTATGTAAACAAAGTCATTCAGAGTGGTATGAATAGTTCTGTTCTAGAGAAACGTAGGAGTTAGAATTGTACACTGTGGTGGGGATAGGAACCAGGCATCTGAACACTTGAAAACTTATTGTGTCAGATTTACCATTAATTTATCATCATTTCATATAAAAACTCAGAAAACACTTGCAGGTTCACTGGTGGTTTTGGATAGTAAATTAAATGACTGTTTTTGCATAATCCCTGGTTTCTGTCACCACTTCTGTAAAAATAATTGGTAAGCTTCTCTACAATTAACCATTTTACATCAAACCACACTGAATGAAAGAGAAATATTGGTGGAATTCCTCTTAAAATGTAGGAACCAATATTTGTTTCTATTGTCCAAATTACAGCTGCTAATCATTGCCCTAAAATTACAGTATCTATACTGACATGATGTGTTTTGATTGTTACAGACCAAAAGTGAAAGTGTGATCACGCAGACACAAACAGAGTTCAGGAAAATTTTACTCATTAGTGTATTAACAATAACTTCAACATATTATTCACAACAATGGCAGACACAGCAAAAATCCAGGGAAAAGCTTTACATGCACCTTTAGAAAGATACCAAAATAAATGGAATGGGCCTAAATTAAAATATGAGCACACAGAAAAAAAAGAAGAAAAAGGCCCCAGTTGCAGGTAAGCCTTTGTTCTGACAGTGACTGATGACCTGACTGAAAACAAGCCAAGTACTGAAGAGGAAAAGAAACTGCCTCCCTCAAAGCTATTCTTTAATACACCACCCTTTTGCCTAATTCTTAACTCAAGAACTGACTCTCTAGCAGCAACTTACCTTTGCGATACATATGAGCCCTGAACATATTAGTCATAACAATAACCATTAGCCAAGAAGCCCACCTTTCGCTGCCAAAAGCAGAAAGCGCAAGGTGAGGTTCAAGTGTCTTAAGGAGGAAGATCATTCATGGGAGCTCAATAAAGTGGAGACTTTCTCCTTTGTGAGTGCCTTTGGGGAGAGTTAATAAGTTTGCTGTGTGATTAGGCCTTAAAAAAAAAAAGAGGCCAGAGCGTGTTGGACGGAGGCCAGAGCCAAACCCAAACGTGTGCCTGAGCTGGCAGGGAGTGGAGGCTTGCTCAAATACACGCTGCAAGCGTTCACATGGCAGTGTGAAAGCTGGCCAAGGGGAGTGCATGTTCGATAAATGTCAATGTACAATGGACGAGTTTACAAAAATGAAACAGTGAGTTCCTTGTTGCAAACCAGGTTCTATATTTATCAAGAGTTTAAGAGAACTTCACTACAACCAGGTCCTCTCTACCCAGATATGTGCATTGATTAAAGCATAAAAAGGCAAAAGCTGGTTTTAGATCAACACTTTAACTCTGAGAAGTTTGCCACTGGGCCCAGGTCCTTAAGCTTGAGTGTTGAGTAGAACTTAGAGAGATAGTGAAAGACAGGCAGACCATGCGAACATACCTGGACATGTTTTTGTAACTTCTGTTCATGTAGAACCCCATATATCTAACCTAGTTTCTCCTATAAATATATGATGAGATGAGAAAAATGTCTTGAACTATCTACCCAGACACATATACCACTTAGAGCAAGAACCTTGGCTGAATCCCAAATGGCTCCCTGCTTTCTATGTAGTCCGCTACGTACGTCTTAAAATAATGGCTCCTGCATCCAAAGAATGCCTAATGTGTCAAACATGGACATGTTGAACATGTGCAGTTCCCTACTGAACATGTAGTGCAATACTTAGGGGGCCAAACTTTCAGAACTCACAAAGTACACCACCATAGGGAAAAGCGGGCCCCGAATTTGAGATTCAGCCCTTGTCTCAACACTTAAGTTCACTGGCCTTTATTCATCAAAGTTGTGACTGATAATTTCATGAAACTACTCTGCGTCTGATTCATGAAACCTTCATATGACATGCAGAGATCTGAGCGCAAATAGTGAATCAGCTTCAGTGTGTGAAATCAAGTGTCAGCCACTCAAGTATCTCATTTACATATCATTTGCAGGAAGCATGCCCTAATTCATGCAGATGTTTGGTAGGGAGCTAATAAAAGGACAGCATTCATGGGCTTGTGAGCCAGTGGCTGTGCTCGTAGGTGAGGTTGAGGTCGAGCGGCGTGTGTCTTGTTTTTTTTAAAGACAGTAGAATGAAGCGATTGTGTAGTGTGATTATTCTCCTGAAATAACAGATTTAAACACTGTATTATTGCAGATGCTTCTACAATAATAGCTAGCTAGTTTTGCATTGTTTATTTTGTGAGCAGCGTCAGTAGCATATACCTAAAGCACAGTGTAATATGTGTTTAAATGGCATATGCAATAGTTGCAGCACCAATGTCAATGTAAAATAAGTACATCCAGCTTTTGTGCTGGATTACCATGCAGGCGAATTATTAGCATAATAGTTATTTTCTATTTTTATTCTCATTTTTGGTGTTATAGATAATAGTTTTGGTGAGTTAACTGCAAATTAAGGATGTTTTTTAACTTGTCAAACTATTGCACTCCCTCCATATATGCAGATATACCAAAGATGACATTAACGAATAATAAAATTGTCTGTGAAATTTGGGTGAGCTCATTTTATCAGATTTGACCGTATGTAACGTTGATGAATAAATAAGGGCCACTGTGAATATCTGAATGGAAAAAATAAAACATAAGCTGTGAGGAAAAAAACGATCCTTATGGAACTAGTAAGCCATTTTTTTGTTCAGTTTTGAAATCAAATTTCCAGTTCAAGGCAAGTATTGTACAAAGCATTAGGAAAAGTATTGTAAAGATGGGACACCTCATGAATTCCTGTTGTGCTAGCATGTTTTACTAGCCTGTAAAGTGTAGAAGCGTAGGCTTAGTGGTGCTTGTCAGTGTCAGTGCATAGATATCAGTCTGTCCTCTTGCCTCTTCTAGTATGATAGCTGGCCTCATACAGGGTGGACGAACTGATAGACCAGTCTCTGAGACACGTCTGGTTTGCGGATGATGCCCTTCTTGTAGTACTGTCGGATTGAGCGGCTAAGCTTGTCATAGTTCATAGCGGGTCGGTTCTTCCTCAGGCCCCAGAGTCGTGCCACATGAGCAGAGTCTTCAATTTTAAAGATGCCTTAGTAAAAAAAATAAATAAATAAGAGGGATTAGAGATTTAAACAAGGCTTGACAGAGCTAACTGGCTACTTTCATATCCTGTTAGCCACACTAGCACTATTGGGGGCATCTGTTCCTTTAGGGTTCTGTACCTTTCTCTTTGTTGAGCCAGCGAATGCAGCGTCCATAGCTGTGAGGCTTGAGTAGCAGCTCCCTGAGGAACTGCCATAAGTGGATAGGCTGACCGGAGCAGGAGGAGTCCGCTTCTGACCACAGCTCCTCTCCCCCTGTAGGATAACAACACAAACATGATCATTAGCCCAAATCATAGTTAATCAATGTACAGCAAAATGACTTCTGAATTAGTGTTTTTTTGAAAAATTTCACATGATTCATCAATAGCTAGGCTATTCAAACAACTGACCTAGGGGTGGGCAGTATTTGCGATTATTGTGATAGATCACATTACACAGTTAGGTCCGACAGCACAGTCTGTTTGGCTGAGAATGTTTCTATCCATGCTGTTATTTTTGATAACAGCACTTTACCACACACAAAAACTGAAAATGGATACCATAGATAACATCTATAAGATAATCTTTAACCTGCAGCATGTGTGACCACAGGCCTGCATGAAATTCTGAACCTCTTGTTGATCCTAAGTGAGCTTTTCGGATGGCAACTGCGACAGAACAAATAAACAAACTGTGGTAACACGTTTTTGTATGTTCCAGCTTATCCAACATCATTAAAAAACTAAATATTGTGATGCATATTGTGCATTGTGAAAATGCCTTGAAGTATCGTAATGTTATTTTTTGCCATATCTCCCACTCTTAGTCTGATCCTTCCATGCTGTAAACCTTACATAGAGAAATTTCTTTCAAATGTGTAATAATATAGAATATTAAAGCTGCACTATGTAATATTTGGGGATTTGGTGACCTCTCTGGTGGAAATGTGTAATAGCACGCAACATGTGGAAGCATTTTTTGTAACTAGCTGTGCTTTGGACCTTTTCCTCGAGTGGATGAATCAGATGATCGTTAGCGCAGAGCATTCAAAAAGAACTCAAAACTTGGTGAAGGTTGTGAGTGAATTATCTACTATTGTCATCATATCTTCAAGGTGATTTTGCATTTGAGACCTAAATATCAAGCTAGACCTTCTTTTTCAGCCTGTGCATGTGACATTGTTAAGTAAAATGTTTGGCGTAGTCTGAAAAACTCCCCAATCCATCTTGACCCCTCTGACTTTTAAATTACTATTTTAATCTTCATAAGGTGACTCGTAGCAGCGCGCACACACCATATTTTAGCTTGTTTTTTTCTCCTGACTCAGCAATGCTACTAATTTCAAGTTGAACAAAAATATCTTACATATCACAGCTTTAATATGGAATGAAATCTGAAATTGATAGCAAAGAATTGGAAACATAACAGTCTGGAGCCACATTAATTTTGTTTTGTTTTCTTTCTATTCTCTATGTAATAAACACCAAACCTGAACGTGCCATTGAAGTTTGAATTCACAAAAATGCAAACATATCTAGTTTGTTGGCATGCAGGTATGACATAGTGACCCACCTGTGACCCTACTCTCTCCTACCGAACACCTCTCCTTCATCCAGGCACCTGAGCGTACAAAGAAAGGCAAGTTATGAAAATCCCAGAAAACATAAACATATGTTTGTGCATGTGCAAGTTTTTTGCTCATGCCAGCCAAACCGCACCTGATTTCCAGATGTCTAGATGCGCGTGCAGTGTGTCGCCGCATTGTGGTGAACGCTGGCGGAAGTCTTCCTCCGTCATGGCGCACAGGTCTTTCCCATCCAGGTCCTGGAAGGCTTTGCCCACCTGAGGGAGCCGATACAGATGCTCCGTCCACAGCAACCACTTCTGAACATTCCCACAGCTCCACTCCACCGGGTCTGAAAGATCCGAGATGAGCGTGACTCACTCTGTCTTACTCATTACCTTGAAGCAGCTACCCCAATCCTTTGAGACATCAGTCAAGCTCTATAGCATGTGGATTAGTAAGTGTTTGCATAGGGCTTTGTGTGTTTTGATGCACCTTTTTGAGAGCCATTCAACGAGAACGAGAGAGAAAAGTGTGAACGGGGGAAACGGGTATTTACCAAAGGAGGTGCACTGCAATTGTTTTCAAGGAGTGAAATTTGGCATGACAAATGACAGTTAGAAGCTCTTGCAGGCCAAAGAGGACACACCAATAAAATCAATAGCCAGTGTCAGTGAGGTTCAGGTAATTCAGGAGGTTTTAGCAATGCAGTACAAAGACATTATGTGGAATATATTTAAACTGTCAGAAATTTTGACTCTTTTCAGTGGTGTGAGGCAAAATACAGAGCTTCTTAAAATAGCCCATAGACAGGGGACGACTGTTAATAAGTACTCCTTTAGGCAGGTTTTTTTTTACCAGTGTAGGGGAAGGGCTTGGTTGGACAATGTAAACATCTACTTCTAAGTAAACACCAAAAGACTTTATGCAAAGCTGCTCCAACAAAGTTCTCCACATGCAAGACTGAGGATTAAGTACATCCTGGAGTGTAAAGCTAAGCTTGACGTCAGGTGCAGTCTGCGTCAAAGACCTTTGACTGTTTCTCTATTAATTAATGTACCGGATGCGTGATTTATAGACCTTGACCAGAATCATGATTTATAATTCCAACCTAGCGGATTAAGAATTTTCCAACTGTATAAAGCTTATCAAGCATCATCATCTTCCGAGTTAACAAAATCTCACGTAGGCAAAAGTGTAAATATCCCCAATCAAATGACTTTTTGTTGATTTTTTAAGTGAAAATAAGTTAATATAACCTCTACAGAGAGAACACTTAAGTATGGCAAATTTTAGTGCACAATATCTATCTATCTATCTATCTATCTATCTATCTATCTATGTATCTTCTTATTTATTTGAGTTCTGGAAAAAATTGAACATAAAATATTAAACATAAAATATGACACATTTTATGGGCTCTTTTTCCCCCAGTGTGTTCTATTCAGCATGTATTTATTTTCACTTTAAAAAACCAATTAAATAGGTCTTTTGACCAAGGGCTCCCAAACTTTTACACACAACTGTAAAAGGTACCTATTTAGCAGTCTCACTCCACCCTGACTAGAACTTTGAAATAAACATTTCTGTGAGAAACACAATAAAAACATCCAAAATCCACTGCTGGAGATCACCCAAGTGATGCTCTCTAGTAAAAAAAAGTGTTGCAGTTGCCTGCTTTGTAAGTGGAGTAATCCAGCCTCTAACCTGGTGTGATGTTCAGCAGTTTGCAGGCTGTCTCAATGTCCTTCAACACTTCTCCCACCACCAAACTCTGCACTTGCTCCAGAGACCTCTCCTCAACCTGGTCTTCCAGGCCAGGCGACAGTGGTGCACTTCCTAACCCAGGACTGTCAATAACAGGGCACTGCTCTGGTTCCGGACAGGGTTCTGGACGAGGTCCGACACCGGCCGAAGCCGAGGAGTCCGCCACCCTCACTAGCCAGGCAGCTTCCTCAGTGAAGAGCATGTCAATGCAGGACAGGTAGAATCCTGAGAGCCCTCGCTCTGAGCCGTCTAGTCGTGGTTTACTGTCTACCAGCTCCAGGGTCTCGACGCTCCCCTCTTCTCTTTTCAGAAGAGCCAGAGAACTCTCGGAGAAAGCAGAGCCACTGCGGGGCGGCTGGAGCAGGGCGCTGTCTGGGTGGACCCGCACTGGACTGGCCATGGCCTCCTGAGGTGAGGGAAGAGAAGAGATTAGAAAAAAAAATTGCCATTTTTTGGTTTTGTGTGTGGTAAGAAAACCTTAAAATCTCTGACATAGTAACTCATATTGGTCCATTTCTTGGTCAAAAAATTACAAATTTGAAAATGCCTGCTGCTGTTTACACCATGTCCAAATTTCATGACAAACAGACTAACAGAAAAAAGACCTAAAAAATATTGTCACATTAACTGTCACATTTAAAAGTTAAGAATGTTTTTTCCTTCTTCGTAATTTGCCTTTTTGGAGATAAAAGCTTTTCTCCCAACAGTGACAATATACAATCAATTTGAGAGGAAGTTCATCAACAAAGACACAAACATCCTCATCAACAACAATTCAATACCATTCAAGTAGAATCTGGTCTCAGGGTACTAGTCGTTAACTGGTGTCATGATGTCCAGTTCTATAGCTCAACCAAGCCAGAATCCAAGCTTGCCTTAAAGGATTCTGAGCCCTATTGAGACTCCTGGTCTCTTTAAGTGTTGGAGGACATGCGGGGCAGGGAAAGAGGGACCAAAGCAAGTCACGGTGCAGCATGGGAAGCCAAGGGCCAAAACGGATTTGGCTGAAGGACTTACTCACGGGTCACTACTGCAGAAAGACGGTTGACGTCTGGGTAAAAAAACAGAAGTCATTGCTCACTTTCAAGGTGTCATTCCCGCAGTTCCCTGTCTCCACTGTCAGCATGAGTTTTTAATGAAAGCGAAATGAAATGGAACTGCGTAGGAGACAGCTTGACACTGCAGAATGGTAAGAGACTGGAGACAGAGGAGCCATCTACAGAAAACTAGGAGAGCGATGAGTAGATGAGGCTGATTCATGCAGTATTTAAAAGACGGGCTGTTATCAAACATCCAGTCTATGTGGTAGTTTTCTCCACTCTTACAAAGGTTCCTAAATAGTTTTTAAACTTGTACCTTAACATCATGTGGAAGCTCTTCAGAACTTCAGAATGGTTCCTCATACCGGCACAGTGTCATTTACATTAATTGGAAGGTTCTTTAGGGTACTTAAAGGGTCCATATCATGAAAAACACATCTTCTTCACTTTTTTAAAATAAAAGAGTTTGATGTAGTAACTAAACATTGTTTGTTAACCAATTTTAAAAAGTTCCAATTACTTCCCAGTCCATACGGTCCATGTGGTCACTTGTATCTTCATTTGTGTCTTTTTTTACATAATTTGTAAACACCAGATGACCATTATACTTTTTGTATACTGTTTGAGAATTTCATGATAAATGGACTGATAGAAATGGTTAAAAAATAACTTGGGCAAAAAAATAGATTCCCTTCCATTTTAAGTTAACCCCATCAAAAACTCAGGCTTATTACATACTAAGGTTTATTATTTAGTAACTACAGGGACTTTAATGCAAACTGGCTGAGCTATTCTTGGGTTCTAGAAGTGTATAATAAAACATTGGGCCTGCTGCTGGGCCCTGGCCATGTAACAGGTTAAGAGCATTTTTTCCATTTAGGAGATACAAGATTTTTTTTCCCGACAGTGAATATATTTGTAAAGTAAACTGCCAAATGGCATAAATTGCTTTTGTGATGTCATAAAAACCTGTCATAAAGTTATAAGGAGTGTTTCAGCCGCAACATACTTTTTTTTAATGGGGCACAACACAGAGCAGCCAATCAGATGTATATATCTATACAGATATAGAGAGGTGGAAAGTGGTCTTGTTTAATTATGATTATCTAAAATAGGATATGGAACATTTTGAAGTCATTCTTCTGTGGAATTGCTCCAAAGAGCCCTTTTACACAACTTTATTATTATATTTTTATATGTATGATTTGCACTAAGAAAAATACAAATTGTTGCAACCTCGTACTCTTAGGTTAGTGTCGTTGGGCCTCATTCCCCAACCGCTCTTACGAAGATATTCCTTTATAAAACCCCTATATACAGTTTTCACAAAGATTCCAACATTCACTAATATTTTCTTATTTGGTATCTGTTCTTAGGTAAGAACAGAATCTACACACACTCAAGAGCACAACATGGTGCAAGCATGTCTGCAGTTCAAGAACAAATCATGAATCTGAAGAATCTTTTCTTAGGGCCTTTCTCAAGAGCAAACTTAGGAAGATATTGCTGAATGAGGTCCATTGCTCATATCTTAGATGAGTGATAGTGGTATTTGGAAGACATCTTTAGCTCTGACAGCCAAGTGTAAGTTGTCTTCCAATGGCACAGATGGAGAATGAGTGGCTATCATAGATTATCTGCTGTCAATGTTCTCGTACGTCTTCAGAACGGTCTGTCGCATGCCACATGCTCATTGATACAACTTTCGTTTGTTTGGACATAGTGACACCCAAATTCATAAAATCTGATGATAGCTCCACACCCAGTGATAGCGGAGGAAATTAGGTACTATTAAACTAAGCACAGGCTGTCAATGTATTTATGACTATTCAGAGGTACTGCTCTGGTCACATTAGACACATTGAAGGAATGGAAGCAGCTCAGGCCACTTCAGTGCCTCTCTTTGCGCGTCTCTATGCGAACACAAAAGGAAGCCTTGGCTAGTGTCTTTGAAGCTGCCCTCTGGTTAACCCTAAAGGAAATGAAGTTATCCTCCTTTAAATAACCCCTCCTCTCATCTCTTAACCCTGCTATGGCTCTCATTCCCTTCTGCTGCTCCCCACATTCCCTCCTTTCATCCCTCTCTCCTCCCTGGAAAAGAAGGTGCATCTTTTCCTTCATCTGTGGGCAGCTTAGGCACACTGAGCGGCCTAGCGTTCCCTCTCTGTAGCAACAGCTTGCAGTAAGCCCATTACCCTTGTGCATTTGGCCGTATTGACTCAGCCCAGCAGAGAAGGAGATGCAAACATACTCCCTAGGCAAGGGATTAGAGCCCGTGACTGATCCTTAAATGAGTTTGGTTAAAGACTCGAAAATTCATTTCAGGGGAATTAGGAGTTGCTCCATTTGCCAGGTCAGTGGTGCTCATTGTCACTGAGCTGAGGAACGTTTATAGATTCGGCTAACAGTATAGGTTTAGCGCAAGAGTCTTTCAAGGGCCTTTCTTAGTGCCTGAGCTGCTCTGATTGCTCAATCTATTGGTGGGGGGATGCTTCCTTGAAATGACAGAGGGTTTGGATTTTGAAAGCTGTAAAGCTGCATCATCGTTCTTACTTATTAACATTTGGAACTTGTGTCCATTCATTTTTTGCATTCCTAAATTTGGTGCACCATATTTCAGATCCCACATGAAAACCACATCTGCTCACAATACACGGACCAGGAAATGTTCAGTGCTTGATGGCTAACCTATTGATTTTAACTAGAAACATAAAGTGATGAAACTGGACAAAGACAGACGTGTTTCTGAACTGCTGTCCACCCTTCCTTATCTTTTCTTTTTAAAACAGCGCTTCATTGTTTGGGTTTTGGACATAGAAAGTATATGAAGTCATGCAGGGCTGTAGACTCCTGTAATCTCAAAGGGGAATTCCATTGGTTTTTCAAAATTTCTGCATAGTTAAATCTTTGAAACGAAACAAAGTAATTCAGAGTGGATTGAAGTGAAATGGTTCACTGTAGAAACTTACTGAATCAGACTTCTTCACAGTTGTGTTGACAGGAACACAAACGATTGAACATTCCATTTTGTCACTACCAATACAATAATATCAGCTCTGAAACTTTTCACCGTGTTTCGGTAGCAATAATAAAATTAAATAAATAAATTCTATTTTATAACAAATCAAAATCTTTAATCGTCACTTAAAAAAATCAAAAAGAGCCTTTTTAAAACAGCTAAAAAATGCAAAAAAATTTTAAATATGATTTTCACAAGTGTAAATTTAGGGGTTAGGGCTTGGGACAACCACCTCCCAAAAGAAAGTATGCTATAAGTTATGATTTTCTTTATATTTAGCTTATTACAATCTCTATTAATGCTTTGGATTTAAATAAATCTGAACATAAGAAGGTGTGAACACTTTATCAGCATTTTTAAAACAAAAATCAAGATTCTGCAGATTGAACTAATTGGTAGAATGGTCCATATTTGAGTTTTTATATGTAATGTTGATGGTGGTAAAACAGAAAAAGGTATTTTCCTTGGGTACTATGCTGCCTTTCAAAGCCCTGCATGTGCCTTTTAGGCCTAAACTATCAGAACGCAATGTCTCAGGCACCAGGCTGTGCCTTCATCATCATTCCATGTACTATTTTTCTGCAAGGCAGTTTTAAGAGACATTAAACACTTTGGACGTCTGGTTCCAATCATCACCACTAGAAACAATACTGCAAACCTCACCCTCATGAACTGACCCTCCCGATGATGCTGCTGCTGCATAAAGTAAAACTAATCAAATTAACCATTGCTTCACCTGTTTTCCCGGTTTTGTAATACTTTACACTAACAATGTTTGCTATCCGGTGTCGACCAGAGGAGGATGGGTTCCCCTTCTGAGTCTTGGTTCTTCTCAAGGTTTCTTCCTCCTGCTCTTAGGGAGTTTTTCCTTGGCACTGTCGCCACTGGCGATGCTCATGGGGGCTTGGACCCGGATTTTTTTTTCTGTAATGCTGATTTTTCTGTAAAGCTGCTTTTTCTGTAAAGCTGCTTTGTGACAACACCTGTTGTAAAAAGCACTATATAAATAAACTTTGCTTGCTTGCATTCTCCACAATAGCACATTTCACATCAAACCGCTCTAAATGACTGTTCACATCCACAACATGCATACATTTTTGAAAAACAGATGGAATTCCCCTTTAAAGTTTTTACATTTCCCCATTGGCATGCAAGCTCATATTCACCAAGCAGCGACAACACAGAGTGCTCCACTGGCCAGGTCTGTAGTGCTCATTTAAACGTCATTGCAGTAAAAGTAGCGACATGTCTATCATAGGTAAAGATTAACCCTGAATAAGTGTTCCCTGCTGAGAGAAGCATATTGAACATTTATTGTGCGTCAAGACGTCATTTCAAGGAGGCAGGAAGAACTGACCCGGTGTTTCCTCTGACAGCTGTTCAGTATGAGAGCTGTTCACATCGGCAGGACATAAAACGCTGTAATGATTACACACAATAGGCCCAAGATTAGAGCTTTTGTGCCATCTGACTGTATCTCACAAAGGTTCAACACTACAATTCAGGAGGACCTTTTTCTGAGAGAAGGTCAGCTGTGAGAGCTGTCAAAGAAATATTGCAGCAATTAATATTATAGTGGCCTAACTAATGATGCTCTTATTGCTCTAGTCGTGTACCACAAACCTATCAGTGTGCAGCTTTTCCTTTCTAACCGGCAGGTAATTAAATAATATACACCTTATTTCCCACACCAAGAGAGGAACTTTGCTCTTTAAGGGGCCCAAAAGGAACCCTGTTTTCCTTTCTTTTTAAACTAAAAGAGTTTAAAGTTAAAGATTTAAAATTATATACATATATATATATATATATAATATATATATATATATATATATATAAGGCACAGTAACAAAACAGCCTGTTTAATTATAAGGCATGAAGAGAGGTTGGAAAACGGTCATGTTAAAATGAATATGATTGCTTTTCATACATAAAACCACACAAACATTATAACTGGATCTCAGGGATAAGAAAAAAAAATAAAATATAATAAAAACGCAGGAGATGGACCCTTTAACTTCTCTTTGTTGATGGACATTTAAATGCTGTAGCCTTAAGTGTTACATCATTAAAGCAACAGTTACAAATTCTAGAGGGCAAGATAAAACCCATTCCTTAAACATTTATGGAGTGATATTTTATTCATTGTTGTCAGGATATACTCATAAAACTCCAGGACGAAATGATTCGTAATTAATAATAATAATAATAATAATAATAATAATAATAATAATAATAATAATCTTTATTTATAGAGCCCTTTTCATGCCAAAGTGCTTTACAGACAGGTGATGAAGCTTAACAGTAATAGAAGTTGTGAGTATTAAGTTATATAAAATAATGCAATAACAATAATCTAATTAAAACGCTAAACACCAAAGAGACGTACAGTATTAACTAAAGAGACATGTTTTGAAATGTTTCTTAAAAGTGAGCACTGAGCTCCACAGTCTAGAAGCAGAATAACTGATAGAGTCTCTCCATGTTTTCTGTATTTTACAGAAGGTGTTTGCAGAAGGTCAGACTCTGCAGATCTAAGATCACAAAACAGACAGACAGTCTGTGATGTAAGCAGGTGCTTTAAGGTCATTTAGAGCCTTAAAAACTAGGAGAAGAACTTTAAAAACTATCCTGAAAGACACAGGCAGCCGGTGCAGTTTCTAAGTGGGAGTGATATGATCTCTGTTTTGTTTTTGTTAGAGTCTGTGCTGCTGAATTTTGGACAATTGTAGAGGATGGATTGTAAAAAGAGCATTATTGTAATCAGTTCTGCTCATAAGAAATGCATGAACACGTTTCTCTGCATCACTCTGGGATATAAAAGGCCAGACTTTAGCAATATAACCAATAGAACCTGTTGGTCCTCTTTTCAAGATATCATTACAGCAAAATTATATATTTGCATATATGCCTTGTTTGTCACTCGTGCTGGAAGACAGTGCTTTCTAAGCACACCGGATAACACCGTATTCCCCCTGAGCTTCTACATTACAACTAAAAGAAAATTTGTCAGATTTGGCAAGTTTAGCAAACTTGTTTTCAAACCTAGTTAAAACTCTATGTATCTCATTAGGCAGACAATTCTCTCAGCACGTCAGCCAGATAGTTAAAAGGGTAATTCCATTGGTTTTCCACAATTTCTGCATCATTGAGATGTAAACAAAATCATTCAGAGTGTTTGATGTCAAATGCTCCTTTCTAGAGAAATGTACAGAGTTAGTTTAATATGTAATGTATTTTACAAACCTCTGCATGAATGGAGTAGTAAAACAATGTCTCAGGCATCAGGCCTGTATTTGCAACCATTTCATGTAATACCTTTCTGTGAAGGGAGCTTTTAGAGGCATTAAACTCTTCAGACACCTGGTTCCTATCACCACCACTGTGAACAATTCGGACCCTGTACATTTCTCTAACGGAGCATTTCACCTTAAACCACTCTGATTGACTTTGTTGACATCTTAATGATTGAATTATGCAGAAACGTTCAGTGGAATTCCCCTTAAAAAAAATATTCAAACAAGACTCTGAAATCTGATCAAAAAATGCTAGAACAATTCTCTCTGAGGCTTTTTGTAAGTGTGAATGGCTTTTTACAACCATACTCTTCCTGGTAGTGGTTAACATGCTTTTCAATTCACGGATGATTTCATCACAAACAAAACTGTCCAAATATTTCCGTAAAAACTTGCATGGTATGCTAACATGCAAATTTTTGCATTCCCACCAAGTCATCCAGTTTATGACATGACCTTGATAAGAATCATTGGCTCAGTCACCAGGTTCAATTACGACAGTATTTCCAACTTACATTTGCTTGTCTTTCTGTTTACCTTTTGGCGTTTCTTTATGTTCTTGGCTCAACTTCTACGCCAGGTGTGAAAACACTGTAGCAGGTTATATTTCAGGAAGATCTCTTTATAGATCGTGGAACTGATTTCCTCCAGGTCCAGTCATTTTAAAACAGGGTCCAGTTTTTTTTTTTTTAAATGAATGTATGATTAAAAATGAACCTCTAAATAGAGTTTGTAAAAACTGTTGTCTGCTCAAATAGTAATATAAAATAAAAAATGTTGAAAGCATTTCGAAACAACTGAGCAAAATCAGCTGCCAGTGTTTTTCAATGTAAAGCATTATGTTAAATATTGAACAGTTATGCAGCTAGCTAGGTGAGGCTCACACACAATTTAGTGTGTATGACTTTGTGTGCTAAAGCAATAGGGTGGGCCTTGGTTTGTATTCGAAATCTAGGCAAATACCCCTAGGTCAGTCCTTAGCTCTTCATCACTGCGCCTTTGTAAGTATAGACAGATCATTAGCTTCAGCTTCTACCCACAGCTTTTTATTTTTGTTTATTCCGTATGATTATATTCTATTTAATGCACTTCTATTTAAATTTCCTCTAAATATTTGTTAAGAGTCTGTCTGCTTGTCTGGTCAGTTTAGTATATTAGCTGTCATACATGTGTGCACTCACCAAGACGAATTCCTTGTTAGTGTAATATTAGTGTAACAAACTTGCCACAATAAAGTGATTCTGCTTATCAGGAGCATCAAGCAGCTGCTCTCTGCCACTACACTGTGAATATTTTAACCTCTTGAACTCAGTGACCACACTTCAATTCCTCATTCTTATAACTACATGAATACATTTAAAGTTACTGAATAATTTCTAGAAGTTATTGAATAAATGACTGATGATTGAAAACTGCATCATGAGCTTCAAGGGGCCAAAACATATATAAATCTGTTCCTTGGGTGCCTTTAACATATGAAACATATGTTAAAAATACACCATGTACTATACATGATTCAGAAATTCTTTCTAATGTATCGCTGCTGTTGGGACAAAACCTTGTATCTCCATTTTTGTCGTTTTTCAGTTTTTTACATAATTTGAAAATACCTGTTGGCCTTTACATTGTCTGTAAATTTCATGATGAATGGACCAACAGAAATGACCCAAAATTACTTGGAAAAAAGTCTGGTTCCATTGACTTACATTAAAAGTGATTCAGATTATCAGGAGCATCAAGCAGACATGGACATCAGTCACTTCACCTGAATTCACCTGAGCTGAAAAACCCTGCCTGAAGCCTTTTTTCAGCCTGAGATATTGAAATTTATACGCTCCTTTGGGAATTCAGCTGTTTGAATTTCAGTTCATCTGCCAGTGCTGTACAGCAGCCAAGCAAAGTCACTTGGGCTTTCCTCGATCGGAACAGTTGTGGTCTGCACTGGTGGAGATGTGGCATGCTGCCAGGACAAAATAACAGATAGAACCTTTACAAAGTTTAAATGACTCACTGGGATCCTAGCGTTAGTAATTCACGGAAAAGAGCCAAAGTGTCACACAACAGGTGCACTCCCTGTGTTAGGAATGCTTGATCTGAATGCCATATCAGTACTTATTAATCATCAAAAGAAAACACAAAAGCTTGGTAAAGATAAGAGGCTGGCTTAGTGCTCTTTTACCCATTAAACTCCAGGCATTTCTACTGTGTTTATTTTCCTTGTACCATATTTAAACTTAAGTAAAATCTTTAGACCGCATTTATTAGGCCCATGGCAATTGTCCTCTTTAATGATTGAAAATTATCATGAAGTTAACAATGGAAGTTATTTTTATCACATGGGGCTTGTTTGCTTTCATACAGTAACTACATAGAAAACAATATGAAATGTTATTATTAAATTGCAGAAGTAAGAAATAGAAGTCTGGACCCATCAACAGGTCTATGGATGCTAAGGTTGTTAAGCACTGTCTCCTGATGTTGCTCACATCTCTGTGAAATCTGTGGTTACTTGTCCTCACCTGTGCAGGTGCAACTTCTGTCCTAGAAAGCACCAGAAGGGGTTCTTCTGTCTCTTGCGTCAAAGCCTGTTGAAGCGGTCGACGAACAGCCTCCTCTCGTTTCCTGTCCAGTCTTAGATCGCCAGGTGATGGGCATTCAGTTTGGGCCCCCCTGTATCTTCTGGAAGCTCTACAGAGATGCAGGATGTTCTCTGGCTGCTTGAAGAATATGAAGCTGGAGGCTGTGGGTGATGTCGGGATAGCAGGCAGTACGACCGGCTCCAGGCACACGCCACCACATTACTAACCTCACTACTGACTAACAGTGCTAGTGTCAATCTTTCCCTGGCTGTGTGTGTGAACCTGATGTGGGTGTGTAGCCAAGCCCTCAAGTTAGGTTTGTGTGCAGGAATGCTCACTCCATTGACTTCAGAGCTTGCATTTATAGGGAGGCTTTATTAACCTGAGTAAACACCGTCCCAGAGCCCCGTCCTCCATCTAAAAATCCACGGACCACAGCTTGTCATTGGACCACTTCTAGCTTTCAACAGTGGGGTAGCACCGGCTTGAAGGTTGTCAGAAAAGTGATGAGAAATGAATGAATTCCATTGTTCTCTAAATTGTCGTCTCCATTATGGTCATCAGTAGGTTGGAACTTGTTAAATTAAGGGATTTCATAGACATTGAGATTAAATTGCACTCTTAGTGAAACACATAGACAATGTTTTTATCATGAAGAGATTTTTAAAGAAACTGAAGAGGCTTTTAGGAAATTTGCACATGGCTCTCACAAATGATTCACTGGAAGTATTAAAGGAAATTTCACTGATTTTTCAAAATTTCTGTAGAATTCATTTGTTGAGATGCAAACAAAATCTTTCATAGTAGTTTAATGTGAGATGGTTCATTTTAGAGAAACTTACCAACTCAGATTTCTTTATAATGGTGGTTATAAAGTTTTTTACTATCCAAAACCACCAGTGAACCTAAACGTGTCTTCTGAGTTTTTATATGTAACGTTAATGATGGTAAAAAAATCTGAAAAAATCTTTGTGAACTGTCTTGCCTCACAACGCCCTGCATGTACCTCTCTGAATTTTGTAATTGGTACCATAAGTTGCTATCATCAGTGTGGCCATTATGATGTTTGCATTTGTGAAATTATGGCAATTTTGTGAATAACAAGTTAGTAAGAATTTGCCTGAAAAATTGTGTTGTAGTGTAATTTTTAAATAGGACCCCAAAATGCCATTCAGTAGGAATTTGCAAATGCACAACTTGCCTAACTACTTCCAAACGGTTATGGTTATGAGTAGCGGAACATTTACTGCTTGTGGCGTTTTTAATTACCCCATTCAAGGAAGTCCAATTACACAGCCTTGATCTTTAGAATTCCAATGAATTGTTTGTCAGGAACAGTTGCAAATTTTAAAATTTTCTTCAAACGTTTCCCTCAACAAGGCTAATTTTCATCCTGCTCATCAGTCAGTCACCAGTATTCAGTTGGGTTCAGATGGGTGCATTTCAGGGCTGAGCAGACCCACCCACTAGACAATACAATATAATAATATGAAGGCCTATTTTGTAAGATATTATCATTAAGACCATTTATCCTTAATAGCTCTTGAAATTGTCTTCAGTCTCAGAACACTGATGTATGGATGTTCCCAGAGGCATTTCTGGAAGTTCAACATCATTATGTAAAACAGTGGTTCTCAATCACGGTCACAGGAGGCCCGCTTTACTGTTTTCCGTACACGCCTCTTTGAATAAATCAACTGATAGTGATTTTCAAAGCTTTCAGAAGTCAGGTACAGCAGAGGAAAACACTGGAAGCACTGAAAGTTATTAAATGATTTTCTGAAGTTATAAAAGATGAAACGCTATATATATATATATATATATATATATATATATATATATATATATATATATATACAGTACTGTGCAAAGTTTAGCTAAGAAAATGGTTTAAAACTGGGCAGTAAGTGTTTTTGCTTGTAAAAACATTGTAAAACATTAGAATAAATACAAATAAACATTGATACAGTAAAATAATGCAACCTTGTTCCCAAAAAAGTTGGGATGCTGTGCAAAATGTAAATAAAAACAGAATGCAATGATGTGCAAAACATTTAAACCCTCAGTTTAATTGAAAATAGTCCAAAACAACATATCACATGTTGACACTGAACAATTTTATTGTTTTCTGAAAAATACATGCCCATTTTGAACTGTGCACTGATAACAAGCTGGATGGTCCCTCTAATCTTCAGTCTGGAGGACACACTGTTAATGATTTCCAAAAAGAATTAAAAATTTGATTTGTCGGAGCACAGGACACTTCTCCACTTCGCCTCAGTCCATCTTAAATAAGCTCGGGCCCAGGGAAGGCAGCAGTGTTTCTGTATCCTCTTTATATGTGGTTTCTTCTTTGCATGGTAGAGGTTTATCTTACATTTGCAGCAATGAACTGTGTTCACAGACAGTGGTTTTCAGAAGTGTTCCTCAGCCCATGCAGTGATTTCCACTACAGAATTGTGTTTGTTTTTAATGTAGGGCCCAAAGATCATGGTCAGCAAATGTTGGTTTTCGGCCTTGTCCCTTGCACATAGAAATTTCTCTGGATTCACCGAATCTTGTAATAATATTATGTACCATAGATGATGAAACCCTCAAGTTCTTTGCTATATTACATTGATATTATTCTTGCACTTGTAATTGTTGCACTATTTGCTTGTGTGTTTCACAGTGGGTGAACCCCTCCTCATCTTTACTTCTGAAAGACTCAGCCTCTCTGAGATGTTCTTTTTATACCCCATCATGTTACTGATCTGTTGCTAAGGAGCCTAATTAGTTGTTTTTAGCATTACACAACTTTCCCAGACTTTTGTTGCCCCTGTGCCAACTATTTTGAAACATGCTGCTGGCATCAAATTCAAAATGGGCCTATCTATTTTTCCAAAAACAATGAAATTTCAATATTTGATATGTTGTCTTTGTTCAATTTTTCATTAAATTTTGGATTTAAATCATTTGTACATCAAAGCATTCTGTTTTTATTTACATTTTACATCCCAACTCTTTTTGGAAATGGGATTTTAGAAGGATTTCTTAATTTCAGTAATACACACATCTTCTGAGTTTTATATGTAATGTTGATGAAGGTAAAGTAGTGGTAAATCTAAAATATATGTTTCTTTGGGGACTATTTTGCCTCACAATGTCCTGCACCATGAGAGGATTCCTAAAAACACATTTTAAAAACGCTCTCAAAACTATTGTTAGACAATGTCTCACACTTCAGTCAGCATTTATAACCAATTCAGGTAATAACATTTTGTGAAGGAGCTTTTAAAAGCGTTAAACTCTTCAGATGTCTGGTTCCTGTCACCACCACTGTGAACAATTCTGACTGGTAAGGTTCTCACATTAAACCACTCTGAAAGATTTCCCTTAAAAATGACACAGTAAAATGTCCCTATGTATGTATGTATGTAGGTAAAAGTGTTTTATATAAACTTTAGTCGGACTTTACAGACACTTAATCTTTAGTTTGAACTAAAGTGACACCATAAGAAGTGTTCTGCTGTCCGAAAAAAGAGAAAGAGAGAGAGAAAGAGGGAGAGAGAGAGAGACAGAAAGAGAGTGAGAGAGAGAGAGAGAGAGAGGTTCTGCCTGCGTCAATGTGTTGATGATGGCCCTGCAATTGCACAGCATGGTGTTGTGTTTGCACAGTTAAACAGACACACCAATGCAAACCCTCACTCTCTCACACTCGCTGTGTTTCATTTAAAACAGGCTTGGATGAATTGCATGAACTGCACACGCAATGTAAAGTGGTGTTCAACATCATATTCCTAATACAAAGGAGAGTGGGGCACAAACTAACATAGGGAAAAAGGTATCATGGCTATTTTATGTAGTTAAATTCATGTTCTTGTGTCCCTGTAGCAGTTTTTTTTACCCAAGGCTGTAATATAAAAGTAACTTTTTTCATCAGAAGTGTTTTTGATTGGTGAGTTGTGTGTCACCGAATTCATACTTTATTCGCCTTCTTGGTGCCTATTTTGAAGCATATAGACAACTCCTAGAGCTACCAGGCTACAAGACAGCCTCCACATGGGGGGTTAGTATTAACAACTTTACAACTAAGCCAACCTAAATAAACAATAAGAGATCTCATCTGGCCCAAACAGCAGAGTTATATTGAATTATTCATGTTTTGAATCATTTTACAAGACTTATTAGTGACTGTTCCAACTAGCCCCTCAGTCTATTACAATTAATTTACAGTTAATTAATTTATAATTAATTACCGCCTGTAGGGTGAGTTGTAACATTTGCACTCCTGCCACTTTCAGCTGAATTGCACATTAATGGAAGGAGCTGGAAACTCAGCTCTTGTTCTCATTTATAGCATATTATTACTTTCAGGACGAAACCTCGTATCTCTTTTATGTATGATATTTGGTCATTTTTCATTTTTTGACATAATTTGAAAAAGGCAGTTGCCCTTTATGTTGTGTCAAAATTTTATGGTGAGCAGACCAACAGAAATGATCCAAAACTACTTGGAAAAAACTATTTCTCCATTTACTTCCATTAAAAGTTAAGAACACTTTTCCATGTTTGGTGATTGTATACAAAAAGTTGGATCTTTCAAAAAATACTAAAAAAACTAAAATATGTTAGGTGAGGCATGGATTACATACAAATCTTGTGAAAAGCTGTGCGTTATTCACATTAGCGTGCTATTGTTTTAAAGGTGATTTATGTAATAACAGTGAGATTTCTCAGGTTTTTGAGCCTTCGCCACACACAGAGGTTTAGTCCTGTCTCCTTTGTGAGCGCTGTTTATTCAGCACGTTTCTCAGAGCAGGTTAATTTGCATGGCAGTTAGAAGGCGACCGCAAGAAGTCGAAGTTCTCGCTCTTTTCACCTTCCTGCTCTAAAATAACATTCTCATGAGACAGATAAGACTTTTTGAACAGAAAAGTGATTGACCCCCCATATCCAAAGACAGGCTAGCCCTTTCAATGTCAAGTTGACATTGCAGCCATCAATCATGTCTAGCTGAGCTCAGCTAACTATTAAAGTGTTGAATCCATTTACAAAAGAACTTGCCGTATGTTAAATATATCCTTTAGTGGTACCACTGAGGAATACTGGACATGGGCTGATAGGCTACATTAAATGAACAGTGTTAAACTGTGGGAGATTAGAATACATTTGCATATCAGTTACACTGCTTTAGAGCATCTTTTGAAGGTTAGGTAATTGTGGTGCACACAAAGACAAGTAGCCCTTGTCAGTCTATAATTATGATAATGGGATAATCACTCAGAAATGAAAGCAGTTTTATGTCACAAAGAACTTGTGAAGGGATTAATAGCATCAGGTTGCATGCTA